TAACGGCGAAGCGAAGTCCGCGACAGCCGCGTGCGGCCAACCGATTACAGAAAATCGTTCCTAACGCCCGTCTCCCTTTTTAGAGTGGCCTGCAGCTCGAGCCTTTACTACGACATCAGTATTTATAATTCAAAGTGAACTATTAGCAATGGCCAGGTCACAAGGGAAGCTCACGCTGGAACAGACATGTAGCTCATGAGTCAAATAGTTTGAGAAACCTACTGGTATTGATTACGAAAGTTGAGCAAATAAACAGGCGTTCTCCTGGAATATGTATTAGCCAAAGCATCTTAATGAGAGCAGAAGCGTTTCGGGCCGTGGGAGGGCTATGCCATATATCTGGAAGGGTAGAATCCTCGAGTTGTACATCGGCTAACTACTCCAATGCCATTGTAAGGCCACAATACACTTAGTAAGCCACTACTGTTAAGAATGGAGAGTGAATGGGGCACCCCAGAAATGGAATTGAAAATTGCCGAAATAATCTGTTCTCTACACTTTACAGGTCTCATGTTAAGTTCATCGCTAATTTCGATTTGGACGATTTCCCGGTTGCTGGAAACGGTAGCTTACCGAATGTGCTGAATGAAATCAACGACGAGAATGTCAACATTGCTGAAATTATCGTTGACTGGAAACTGACTAAGCAAAAGGTAAAGGAAAAAATAGCATTATTAGGGAGAACCGATTTGATGAAAAAATCACATGGAACATGAGTCATCCGACAAAAAAATCGCACACAATCATGAAATTACGCCGTTTTTCTTGCGAAGTAAGTGGGTCTTTCGGGGAATGAGCTCCTTTATTAGAGAGTGGGAAGGTTGCGCAAATGCCCCCATTGAAAGTGTGATGTCGAGCACTGATGACCAGTTCGAAAGTACTGGAAGAATATAAGAAATTCAGGGCCTGCTGCTGCGCCCTATGGGGACTCCATAGGGGACCAGAACATCAGGGAGCTATGCCATTGTGGGGGATTTGTTTATAAGTAAGCTTAATTTAGATTCAATGGAATTCACTCCAATCGCCTTCGGATCTTCGTTTTATGCTGACTGCTTCAAAACTTGTCGCCGACAAAAGCATCAGATATGATTACCGAATCTCCAGGAAGATGTTCACTCGACCAGAAAGAGTATGTTCTATATTCCAAGGAGTTTGATTCAAAGAACAATCAATTTCCACACAAATTGATAAAAGATCCCTCCCCCAAGAAAAAAATCCCTAAGCCTTCGTTACTTCTCTCATACTTCTCTCATAATTACTGGAATTTCAATCTGTTGAAAAGGCTCAGAATATATAAAGATCCCGGAAACAATTATATGAGTACTGAGAATTTCATGGGAAAACAGTCCCTGTGGGGAAATTGTCGTCAACCGGGCTCGTCAACTCATTTCCCTACAGAGAACGTTTTAATCATGAAGTGATGACCATAGATGGAAACAATTTATCGGTGGTAACAAACATATTATTGCACTCTGGGAGAGTAACCGAAGATTACTACAGTACCAGATTACTTTGAGTGTTTAGGTGGCAGTGTTTGACATGCACAACGTCTATCGTAACGAAATTATACCAGGAGAAAGCAAGCAATACGGATATGTTATCCACTCCAGTCGTCGACTCTTCATTCTTCATATGAGGTAGCGTGTATGGTATGTACAAGTGAAGAGACTCTGTCTCCAGGGGTATCAAAAATGGAGCTATGACGGAAGGTCCGAAATTAGATGAAATTATTTACTGTGCAATTAGCTGCTTCATTATAGAGGCCAAGCAGTGGACATTTCAATTTTTTTTTTGAAAATTTAAAAATCTCAAGCGGGATCAGTGAACGATTTTTAACGGCAAATTTTCTCCCTGGAAATCATCCATCCGTCCAGTGAACTAGATTTATCGTATCGAAAAGTGATTTTTCCATTTGGGAGTTTATAAGGTGGGTGTCCGCTTTTGCCTGGTTTACCTGCCCCACGAGGTTTGCTAATACACTCGCCTGCGAAGGTATGGGTATATCCCTCTTACTGGGCACCACCGCCGACCGGTGCAGTTACTAAACTTGGATGCTACCCGACCACTGTGGATTGGGCGGCTCTCCTTGGTGGTTGGCAGTACTTCTTCCCGAATTCCCATGGCAAGAGGAAGTGATTCCGCGTATCTTTCCACCGGGAATTTAAACATTTCCCTCTATAGCGCGCGACTGCACGCGAACGCATGCAGCGACGGCCACACGATTTTCGGGGAGAAGTTACCACACCCCTCCTTGGTACACCTAATTGCCAACTATGAATTTGTGCTGACTCTATGTAGCAAATTGAAGGAAAAACGGTCGCTCGGAATCCTCATTTATGCTGAATCCTCGATACTTACTAGGCTCTTCTTGGCTGGTATGACTCCACAATGAGTGGTATCTATCTGTACTGGTTAGGCGGGAAGCTGCACTGATGAATAAATATTATAAATGAATAAATAAATAAGTAAACAAAAATTTGGGTTTAGTAAAAATATGTATCGAGACCACTGCAAATTCGCCTTAAGATCAACAATATTATACTATACAGCTTCGTATAATATGATATGACAGAAATCATATCATATCGTGTCATTCCATATCTTGTTACACCATTCTTAACTCTTTGCCTACATCCTTGAGAGAACATTTGCAGGAGGTTTCAACGTAATCTGATTAATGAAGCCGTTCACTACAACAAAACAGTCAACACGAGGTTTTTGATCGGCTTGAACCGAAAGATGACGGTCAATTTCAGAAAGCGAATAAAATCTGATAAGTTTGCAAGTATGTTTTTCGGGATCCATTCATTCTTTGATTCGAAAAAATATATATTCATGAGCTGGTAATCCTGCCATTTACGACTGTGACGAACTATTGTACATCCTGAACCTGGAAATCTGAAAGTCAGTTACAGTAAAAATATATTATTGCAGCTCACCAAATGGCGCCATGGGCTACTGAAGCAAGTGAAATCCTACGAAACCTCGAGCATTGTCGTAAAGAGGCGTTTGGAGTAGCTCTCACTGATGAAAACAGAATCTGTCAGCAAAGCTCGGGAGGGTGCGTTTTTCTTGCTAGATTTTTTCTACATTCAGGCGGGAATAAAACTCGATGCATTCATTTTAATCCATAACTTTCAGGTGTGAACCGATGCTCATGACAAAGTCGCATTTCTTCCGTGCTCCAATGTCATGGACCGATTTAGCTCATAGAGCCACATTTAATAATTATACACGCTAACTTCCAATAAAAATTTGCATTAAATAATAGCTGTTATAAGATAATGAAGTGCTTCTAGAACACTCCTTGGTGTTAAGGAATCGTGCTCCACACAGTAGTAAGTCCTGGGCCCATACAGGGAAAAAGCAAAATCAGGATCATTGTATATGAAGTAAAATAAATACCCGCGAAAACATAAGCTGTGAGGGTGAGGTAGTGATGTCAT